GAATTAATGCTTTGTCAAGTCTGCAGACAGACGGCAGGCGAAAAACCTTTTAAAATTCGTGTTTTTCTAGATGGAGATTGGCTAAGCTAACGCAGTATATGCTCCGACCGTCCACACTCACAACAACGGCCTATACAGACATAAATAAAGCAGCGACTGTATTCGCCATGACACAGGCAGTCTGTGGTGTGTACTTGTTTAACTTTTGTCGAGTTTCTGAACATATATAAGGAGCTGTGAGCTCTGAGTGCTAACAGCTAACGGCTGTGTTGTGTTTCTGGAGTTCTCATTGAAGATGACGTCACGGCTCCGCCTACACTGCGTTACTATAGTAACTACCCCAGTTCCTAAACTGTAATGGAAGCGCAGCATGAAGTGAGTCGGCCCTGTTAAGGCCAAGCCGTACCGAGCCGTACTGAGCGTGGCCGAGGCCGACCGTGTAGTGGAAATGTGCCATAAATCAAAAACAGCTGCCAAAATTAACACTGTTGTATAGCCTCTGGCAGGGGTTAAATTGGGCCGGGGCTGTCCGGGGCTAAGCCCATAGGACGATGCTCTGATGTCATCACCCTCGCACATTTGTCATATGTTTACAAAAAACGATGTTAACGAGCGTCTAACTCTCTCCCCCCCCCCCCCCCATCGCACCTTCTAACAGAGCCCCCCCACATATCAAATCCCAATTTAACCCCTGGCCTCTGGAGCAGAAATGAAAGAGAAAAATGTTTACGTTTTGGTACGTTTTTAGGGAAATGTTGTAATATTGCAACGTTGGCCTTAGGTGGGAGCAGAATTTCTGTATTTCTACTCACATTGTCTGAATAAATATATTGAACAACTACATTTGCAGGATTGATTGCTTACTTAGCCCTATATCAGTATATAGCATGAATAATAATCACACATCACTCATATTTGTTATGAATAATCATTTATCATTTATTAAATAGTAAGTCGCTTTGGATAAAAGCGTCAGCAAAATGCAATTTATGAAAGCCTCACTCAGGATTTTTTTACCAAGTGTTTTTATTGCTCTTGGGGCATTAAAAACAAGATTTTAACTTTAGTTTTTTATATAATATCTGCCTTTTCTCTTTTGAAAAACTAAGTCTTAGTTTGGCCATAGTTTGGACTCTCATTTTTAATCACACACGTCTCCCCATCCCATTCAAATTCTTGACTGAGCCTATACTGTATGCATTTGAAAATAAATAGTAGCTACAGTACCCCCCTCTGAGTGAATACCTGTTGACTTCACATCTTGTACACATTTAATTAGGAGCAAAAACACACACTTCAAGTCAGATCATCACCCTTAGCTATTTTAATTACCTCTCAAACAACCTAAACTAGTTATAAATGTTTATTTTTACTGTCGGCCGGGTCAGCTGCTGCATGAGACAGACACTGAAAAGTATTATCATCTGAAATTAATCATTATGTTATTAGTATTAAATATATATAAGTATTTTTACAGCTTGAATTTTTTTACCAAGTGTTTTTATTGCTCTTGGGGCATTAAAAACAAGATTTTAACTTTAGTTTTTTATATAATATCTGCATTTTCTCTTTTGAAAAACTAAGTCTTAGTTTGGTCATAGTTATTTAATATATAAAGACTATATATTATTGAATTACAAGATTAGATATACTTTATTTGATCTAAAATATTGATGTGTTCAAATGCTCTTCTAAACAAAACTGAAAGTCCATGAAAGTTGTCTTCCTGTTTTTGTGAAGGAAGCGCCATCTCCTGGTTAAATCCTGAAATTGAAAATCTGGCAACGCCCTCTTGGAAAATAGTGGGAGGGCTTAACATTCCCAGATACTGGTCTTTGGCAGGTAGCTGGCAGGTAGTAGGCAGGAAGCAGTAAGCTGGAGTCTGAAATAAGCTGCTCCATCTGTAGTACTGATGCTCCGGCACCGTTTTTGCGTGCTCAAATCAACTGTTGTGAACGTCCTTTGTTGAAAGTAGTTTAACTTTGGAGCAGCAACGCACACCGCTTGTGAAGTGACGACAAACACCGAATCACAGACAGCCGGAATATATCTTTCCTGACGGTACCAGGCCGCGGACCACTGCCTTATCACACGCTTTTATCCAGAGGTGGGAAGTAGTGGAGTACAAATACATCGTTAATCTCCTTAAAGGTGGGGTAGGTAATTTTGGAGAAACCAGCTCGAGTGCGCTAGAATTTGAAAATACACAACCGGAAAAAATCTGCCACTTCCTTACAGAGCCCCTCCAACACACACGAACGCGCACATGACCAATGAGGGCACGAGATAAGTTTGTGCACAGATGAAAGGCTGACAGGCAGGTAGGCCATCCAGTTATTTTAGCCGGCCCGGCTAAAATGATTGGTCGTGCTTTTTACAGTACTACGGCTTCCACAGATGACATTTTTTTATGGATTTTTTGTAAAAGCACTTAAGATATTCATTGCTATCGGGATGTTAAGAGCATTCCATGGAATATAAGAAAAAGTGTATCTCGAGCCGGTTTCTCAAACTTACCTACCCCACCTTTAAGTACATTTTTCTGGTATCAGTACTTTACTCCACTACTTATTTTTCTGACGACTTTTTACTTTTACTTCTTACATTTTGAACAAAAATACCTGTACTTTCTACTTCTTACATTTTGAACACAAATACCTGTACTTTCTACTTCTTACATTTTCCAAACAGGCTGGTTCCTTTAGTTTGAATGTGTGTTTGGTGGCGTGATCATTATTATTTAGAGTCATTGCGTGCCTATTGATTTGAACACGATCCGTGTATCCATAATTTCCTGGTCTTCTCTAAAGAAGAGGGACCAATAAAAACTTTGTCATGTTGCCGTTGTTCAGCATGGAAACATTCATTAGCTAACAATGACATTATTGTTCTATTCATATAAAGGGAGGTCAGGTACTCTTTAAATCAGCTGCTAGTTATGGGTACTTTTTACTTATTTCAAAGCACATACTTCTTTACTTTTACTTTAGTAAAGAAGTTTAGTCAGTACTTCTACTTTTACCAGAGTATTTTTAAACACGAGTATCTGTACTTCTACTTGAGTAAAGGATGTGTGTACTTTTTCCCTCTCTGCTTTTATCCAAAGCGACAGGATGTGGGCAAACCCACGACATGCTGACTGCAGTAATCAGATGTTCAGCGCACTACCTCACTGAGCCACAGCCTCCTATGATAGTTACATGAGCAACCTGTGAGAAGTCTGATTTATGTGTTGTATTGAAACCAAAGTGTGTCATTATGATGTTTTTTATTAACCTGTTAAGCCCTGAGCCTGTTTTTCAGGTCTCAGGCTCGAAAATCACATTCCCAGAACAAATGACTATATTTTCACTTTTAAAAAGGGGTAAATTAATAATCTTTTTTCTCAAAGCAATGATAAACCTGTGAGTTGGATGTAGAGAAGTCAGAATCAATATAGATTTTCTTATTTTAAGTAAATTCAGATTGAACATATTAATAAAATGTAAATTATAGTGTCCGTCCAAAAAACAACAACATTACTTATAGTGAAAACCATCCTTGAAAGATGGGATCGTAGACTAAAAGCTTTAGGAATCCAAACTATAACATATAATAAGTACCCTGTATCAAGATTGATGCAAAACAAGTGACATTTGATCTTTTTAGAGAGGTTTCGAAAACAAATCTCTTTTTAACCGTTAGAGCCAACAGAATCGAGGGGAAGTTCCTAAAATCCATCTAAACATTACCCATTGGTGAATAGAGTGATACGTATCCAGAATGCCCCGGAACAGGAAGCTGTCATACACTCTGGTTGCTATCATTAGCAGCTAATATGAAAAGTCAGTTTTTAACATAAAAATGGAATGATGGATTATCAGTAATCATTTCTAAGTGACACAGACACATTGGATTAACCTATGGATTAACCTTCAGCCGTGTTTTTTTTATCGTTTTAATGACATTGTACACGACTTTTGATCAGAAAACAACACAGGTAAGACGTTTTTAGCGGTTTTGGCTACCTAAAGCTATTTATTTGTGTTGTTGTTTGTTGTCGTTTCGCTGCGAGTTCTAATCGCTCAGTGATGAGACTTATATATCTGGAATCTGTGGAATCTCACGATGCTAATCGATGTCTTGTATGTGCATATACGATCAGTAATAAGGGTATTTTTACCGAGTTCTGTGCTAAGTGCGTAAGCATTTTTTCGCTCAGGGCTAATTCAGAGGCTCGGCATTAGACTTGCGCTTTGTTTCGGTAAAAATGGTTCATATCTTCAGTTAGCTGAGTTTCTAACGGTTACGTGAGTATGACACATTAATAGGTTTTTAAATATTAAGAAGCCCTTTTAAGTGTCGTGAAAGAACACCCCGCAGGCCCCCGATTAGGGTCTTCTCGGGCTTAACAAGTTAAATTGTAATGTAAAATGATGTGTATTTTTAAACACGAGTATCTGTATTTCTACTTGAGTAAAGGATGTGTGTACTTTTGCAATCTCTGCTTTTATCCAGAGCGACAGTATGTGGGCAAACCCACGACATGCTGACTGCAGTAATCAGAAGTTCAGCGCACTCCCTCACTGAGCCACAGCCTCCTATGATAGTTACATGAGCAACCTGTGAGAAGTCTGACTTATGTGTTGTATTGAAACCAAGGTTTGTCATTATGATGTTTTTTATTCAATTGTAATGTAAAATTGTGTGTGTGTGTGTGTGTGTGTGTGTGTGTGTGTGTGTGTGTGTGTGTGTGGTGTGTGTGTGTGTGTGTGTGTGTGTGTGTGTGTGTGTGTGTGTGTGTGTGTGTGTGTGTGTGTGTGTGTGGTTGTGTGTGTGATGTGTGTGTGTGTGTGTGTGTGTGTGTGTGTGTGTGTGTGTGTGTGTGTGTGTGTGTGTGTGTGTGTGTGTGTGTGTGTGTGTGTGTGTGTGTGTGTGTGTGTGTGTGTGTGTGTGTGTGTGTGTGTGTGTGTGTGTGTGTGTGTGTGTGTGTGTGTGTGTGTGTGTGTGTGTCTGTGCAGTGTTACTGGTGTATCTGTCAGACTGGAGAAGATGAGTGATTCAAAATATGAGAAGGAGGACACATCTTCCGTCCCCAGCTCTCTGTCTCTGAAGAGTGACGGGTCTAAAGGCACATTTCTGGACTTCAGGGATCAACCTGGACCCTCAGAAACAAAGTGAGAGTCTGTTTCTCCTGTGAACTGACCTGAAGAGGATTCAGTGTTTATGTTATCTGATCATGTAAACTGTTATTTCGTAACTACATGAGCGCAGTACAGAAACAAAGAAGAAGAAAGTTAAACCCTTGTGGTGTGGGTCAGAACCATCTTTTTGAATAGATTTTTTTCAGATGGAAAATAACAAGAGTAAGAACTTGGTGGGCAGGATGTTGTTAACCCTTTAACTGCCAGCGCCACCATTTGGTAGAGCACATTTTGTGTCTTGATATCTTGTTGAAAAAAAATAAAGAAGTTGAACTCCATCTGATTCAGCCAGCTCTACCATCTGGTTGACGTGTTATGCACAAAACAACCTCTAGATGTCACTGTGGTTTGAACAGAAAGCCCTTCAGCTAGCTTCAACTGAGGAAGTTGGCATGCTAAAAATCACTGCTGAAGAAATCACTATTTTTGGTCAACTTATGTAAGGTAACCATATCAATTTTGACATATTTTAGTGTCAGAGCACTTACTGAACACATTTAGATAACTTGATGCACAAAAAAAGTTTTAACAAGGGTGTAATTATTTTTTGGAAAATATGCTCAACCAATCGGTCGAATTGGCTTTTTATGGTAAACTAGCAATATTACTTTTAGAGTTTTAGAGATGTTTTCCAATAAAATATGGTAAATAAATGGCTAGATTCACGGTAATATTACTAAATCTAGTACTGCCTTATTAGTCTCAGAGTGAAAGAGTGATAATAATTTATATAGCACCTTTCATGCATGGCATTCAGCCCAAAGTTGCACACAGATGAGCAAGTTAGGCCAACACAGGATGTAGACATTTGCTGTTAAGCCAGTGGTTTCTTATTAGGCCAATTCAGCATATACAGTAAGATGAGCAAGTATTTTTTTTATTATGAAAAACCCTTAACATTACTTTTTTCCATTTTTCTTTTTTTACAATTATAATTTATTATCTTTTATGAATATATCTGGTTGTATATATTGCTCATTTTCCATAAAAGAAACAAATGTATTTCAGTTTGTGTTTTATTTTCTTTCTTTTTCTTTAACCTTTATTTAACCAGATAAAAAACATTGAGATAAAATCTAATTTTCAATGCTGACCTGGCCAAGAAGGCAGCAACGTTACACATAACACATAACACAAACATATAAAATACAGAGAACATAACTAAGAAAACAAAAGACGAAAAAGCAGTGACTACATATTTGAGTTTGATGCATACAAATACTGTACTGTATATGATGATTGTTGAAAATGCACTTTTACCATAAAAGGCCAGCTTGACCAGTTGGTAGAGGCTCATAAAAACAAAACTGTGTGGTCAGTCAAAAAAATTAAAATTGTTTGTGGCCCATTTGATAAAAAAATGCAAACAAATAATTTTTCCATAGCTTTTTTCTTGATCCGGCAGTTAAAGGGTTTTAATGGTGTCCAATAAGTTTGAGATCACTGAGACTGATGTAAACTATCTAAACACTCAGGGAGAAGCATACAGTAAAGAAACGCAGTAGAGAAAAGTAAAGAAGATCTTCTTCCTTGGTTCCTTGGCTTCATCAGCGACAGAAAATAAACTACTTTAGTGAAATCATTCTGACACTCGGAATGTAGGACTTTGTGTTAAGTTAAGTGAATAAAATACAAACATGTCAAACTATTGATCCTCACAAATGAATTGTAAAGACTGAAACCTGCAAGCATGACTCAAAAACAGAAAGTTCAGAGCAAGTCCAAAAATCTTTAATCAGGTTCAGCTGCTCTTTTCAAAATCCAATGATGTGTGTAAAACATTTTCTGTTTCTGCAGACGGAGAGCAGAGTCTCCAGTCCCCAGCTGTCTGTCTCTGAAGAGTGACCAGTCTACAGGCAGACTTCTGGACTTCAGGGATCAACCTGGACCCTCAGAAACAAAGTGAGAGTCTGTTTCTCCTGTGAACTCAAACTCAACTTGATGTTTGACCCAGTTTGTGTGTACAGAGAGATCGAAATACCGTTTCCCACAATCCCGAATATAAAAACAAATATATAAAAATTAGGGATGCCAGAAACTGACCATGATCAAATTCGAAAATCGGACAGCCCTGGCGAATATTAATCGATACATTTTTTTCTTCCCACCTTATTTGCGGGTGGATTCGCCTACTGTATACCGCTATGCCACGAGCCGGCCCTGTACCCGCGTATAGCCGCAACTTGAAAATGTCAACTTGATCGAGATATTTGTGTGACGCTCTGACGCACAAACCTGTCAGTGTTGAGATTCTGCTACTGTCGTCACTGACGTGCTGACGTGCTGACGTGCTGTCGTCACTGACATGCTGACGTGCTGACGTGCTGACCTGCTGACGTTGAATCAGTAAAGGAAAACATCAGCAGCCAGAGCTTTACAGTACCTCATATTAATTCAGTGTTTTTAATGTATGTGTATGAACCATAGACTCTGTATGGTACACACAACAGACCTCACTGCTTCCCCTAGCGGGCTGTCCTCTACAGTCTATGGCTGTCCTTTGCGTCCGCAAACACCCTCACCCGTCTTTACCTCCGAGCCCGTCTGGTTCAGCATTATTCCCGAGGGGGAGCAGGGCTTTGTGGACCAGACTGAGCGAGTATTTGTGTGGCTACTGTGTTTGGTGTTTTGAAAGTTTCTACGTGATCCACGATGTACAATAGATGAAGACGAGATGCAAATGATCATGAATAGCCCTTAATGTCTTAATGTAACAATCCTCATACTGGTGTGTTGGGTATGGAACGGGATTTCTAAATATCTAAATTTATATTGTGTATCGCGATACAGGTTCAAAATATTGCAATATTATTTTAAGGCCGTATCGCCCAGCCCTAGTTTTGATGACGTGGAGTTGCTATATACGATGAACTTGCTGTGTCCAACTTTGAATTATGTTATGAATCCAGACAGGAAGATGTTTTTATTATGTACATATACCTGCGCTATAAAGGATGTGTTCATCTCAACAGAGGGAAGAGGAACAAATCCAGATCAAGAGCTGGAGTGCAGAGAGACAGTGAGACCAGCACTGTTCAAAGTAAGTCTAAATATCTGTCTGCTGGGGTCTTCATGTCTGAAAACAGGATTCTTCCTGGTTTATTTGTTACAGCAAAGACACATTCATTCTGAACCCTTTTATTTATTTGTTTTATTTGTATTACTCACACGTTTCCTTCTCCTTCAGCAGATAGTGGTCTGCAGGAGGTTTTAGATGAACATCGGATCAGTCTGGGGAGGAGATGTGAACATGTGACTGAAGGAACTGATGAAAGTGAAACCCTCCTCAACAGCATCTTCACTGAGCTCTACATCACACAAGGCCTGAGTGAAGAGGTTAATACCCAACATGAGGTGAGGCAGCTGGAGACAGCTTCCAAGAAAAAGCCCCTCCATGAAACTCCAATCAAGTGCCAGGACATCTTTAAAGCCTTACCTGACCAACAGACTCTCATCAGAGCGGTCCTGACCAACGGTATCGCTGGAGTTGGAAAAACCTTCTCAGTGCAGAAGTTCACTCTGGACTGGGCCGAGGGTTTGGAAAACCAAGATGTCAGTCTGGTGATCCCGCTCTCCTTCAGGGAGATGAACCTGATCAAAGATGAGCAGTACAGTCTTCTCAGGCTGCTCCATGTTTTCCATCCGACCTTACAGAAGGTCACAGCAGAGCAGCTGGCTGTCTGTAAAGTGCTGTTCATCTTTGACGGCCTGGATGAAAGCAGACTTTCTCTGGACTTCAGAAACAATGAGGTTGTGTCTGATGTCTCACAGCAGTCCTCAGTCAACGTGCTGCTGACAAACCTCATCAGGGGGAAGCTGCTTCCCTCGGCTCTCGTCTGGATAACTTCCAGACCTGCAGCATCCAATCAGATCCCTCCTGAGTGTGTGGACAGGGTAACAGAAGTACGAGGCTTCACTGACGCCCAGAAGGAGGAGTACTTCAGGAGGAGATCGAGTGATGAAGACCGGTCCAGCAGAATCATCTCTCACATCAAGAGCTCCAGGAGCCTCCACATCATGTGTCTGATCCCAGTCTTCTGCTGGATCACTGCTGCAGTTCTGGACCACATGTTGACTACAGACCAGCTAGGACAGCTGCCCAAGACCCTCACTGACATGTACTCACACTTCCTGCTGGTCCTGACAAAGAGGAAGAAGCAGAAGTATGGTGAGGGACATGAGACGAGTCCACAGCAGCTGACGAAGGCTGACAGGGAGGTTCTTCTGAAGCTGGGGAGGCTGGCGTTTGAACATCTGGAGAAAGGAGACATCATGTTCTACCAAGAAGACCTGCAGCGCTGTGGTCTTGATACCACCGAGGCCTTGGTGCACTCAGGAGTTTGTACACAGATCTTCAAAAGAGAGAGAGTGATCTTCCAGAAAACAGTCTACTGCTTTGTTCATCTGAGCATTCAGGAGTTTCTGGCTGCAGTCTACATGCTGCACTGTTACACCAACAGGAACACAGAGGTACTGAAGGACTTCCTGCAGGGAGACTATAGCAACAGGTATAACAGTGATCAGGATTATCCATCCCTGGATGTCTTCCTGGAGGGAGCCATGGAGAAATCCCTCAGAAGTGAAAATGGCCACCTGGACCTGTTTGTCCGCTTTCTCCATGGCCTCTCTCTGGAGTCCAACCAGAGACTGTTAGGAGGCCTGCTGGGTCGCACAGACAACAGACCAACATTCATCCAGAGAGCCATCAGAGGCCTGCTGGGTCGCACAGACAACCGTCCAGAAACCATCCAGAGAGCCCTCAGAGGCCAGCCGGGTCACACGGACAACCGTCCAGAAACCATCCAGAGAGCCATCAACAACCTGAAGAAGGCAAGAAATCGTGAAATCTCTCTTGACAGGAGCATCAACATCTTCCACTGTCTGACAGAGATGAAGGACCACTCAGTCCATCAGGAGATCACAGATTTACTGAAGTCAGAGAACCGATCAGGGATCTACTTGTCTTCTCTAGCCTACATGCTGCAGATGTCAGAGGAGGTTCTAGATGAGTTGGACCACGAGAAGTACGAAACATCAGAGGAGGGACGACGGAGACTGATTCCAGCTTTGAGGAACTGCAGCAAGGCTGTGTGAGTCCAGATGTGATTAACTTTATAAACTAATGTAGATATTAAGTTTTGTTTTCGAATAAACACTATACAACTTTTTGCTGTTTCAAATACTGTGACAGCAACATTTAATTATTCTAATAATTAAAAATATTTCAGTTCTTTCTTTTCTTCATTTTTCTTAAGGACTTATGATTTATCACAGCAACATGTGATCACAACATACAGCAGTATTTCACAGATATCAGTGAATGCAGTAAAGTTATTATTACATTACTGCAGTTTCTTAATAGTTAAATCAGACACAGAGTAATATCTGATTTATGTTGACTCTTTTAAAACAAGACCTACATAATCCCACCAATAACAGAGGTCAGATTGTGTTTTAACACTGATACACAGATAACATCTTTTTCATGGTGTTTTGTTGAAAATAATGTAAACTTATTGGTTTGTTCAATATGTTTGTGTGCATTATACATTATTAGATACTTTGAGAAGCCAACACATGATGCATTCAGTGTCATGCACATCCAAATATATGAACTTTTCATGATGGACATCTCTTATATTGTCGATTTGTTTAATTTCTGTTCACTGACAGCAGAAGGTAGGTCCGACGGGACAAACATGGGATCAGATCACACTGAAAATGCTTACAACAAACTCAATAAAATATTAATTGTACTAACATCAGAGTTATTCAAAACATTATATTCAAAATGTTTTTTCAACAAATGCATGAAGTAAATGTAATGTTTCCCCTTGGTTTATAATAACATATGCTGTAATATATGTGTCATTGCAGATTTCCTAACTGTGGAATCTCAGACTCTGACTGTGAAGTCGTGGCCTCTGCTCTGAAGTGCGACCCCTCCCACCTGAGAAAGCTGGACCTGAGTGCCAACAAGCTGCAGGATTCAGGAGTGGAGATGCTGAGTTCTGGACTAAAGAGTCCAAACTGTAAACTGGAGACTCTCAGGTCAGATCACTGGCTGTAGTTCATGTGGATTTTTATTTATTTATCATTTATATTATTTCTAATTCCAGAGTTTAGTACTAAGAGTTCAAAGACATTTAAATTATTTTATATTTCTTTCTAAATGGCTGAATATTTTAAAGAATAACAAAAAGCAGAGAATGTAAATGTGTGACTCTGAAGTCCAACCGCTCTCATCTGAGATATCCTTTCAGCCTTCACTCTCACTGTGCTCCATGAGTAAGTGAAGATGTTCTCAGTACTGATGAGCTGAATGAGATGAATGAGGTCAAAGATGTTGCTGAGAAAAACTGCTGCAGAGAATTTGAGCTCATCAATTGTTTTGAAATATCGCAATATCAGTTTTTTCCAATATCGTGCAGCCCTAGTGGTGAGGGTGGTTGGTTCAAGGACTAAACAGTCAACGCAGTGGATTTAAAGATGAGCACATGGAGGCAGGAGTTCCAGATCATTGTTTGTATTGTAATTTGTTGATTCTTGTTTGTCTTAATTGTTGTCTGGTTGATCTGGTAGGAAAGTACAACACATCTTAGTTAGTTCAAACTTAACATTCATACTTCAAATTATATTCCAGCAAAGCAGTTATTTTTTTACATTATTATATGTAATGTAGAAATAAAGTAACCAAATCTAAACGGTACAGAAAATAGGGAGGTAAACTACTCGAGCTGCTATGAACATACAATACAAAGGAAAGGAACACGTACTGATTATTTACTCAGACAAACAATTGGTTCTCAGGAGTTGCATGAGGCCAGCCAGCTTCTTTGTTCATGGGGGAAAGGATTTGCCACAGGTGAGCTGGAGGAGGGAGCAGGTAGAGGGAGGCCAGAGTGGGAGAGGGGTTTTCCACATCATTGCTGACATTAAAACCATTTTGAGCTCTGAACCGATTATTAAACCTTACCAGGGTTTAGTCTAAACCGGGTAACAGGGGCGCTGCACCCTTTTTCTGTCAGCGTGCGCCCGCATACCAAAATGTTGATTTTCCTCATAAATTGTTAAAGTGATGCCAGAAAACCATATTTCTGTTTGTCAAAAACTGTATAATTCCTCCAAAAATATGAAAATGGTGTCAAATAGAGCATCAGACGGCAGAGACAGCTTTGTTTTGACTCTGAATAATTATGGGATGGATGTCCGGTGGGTTTGCAGCAGGTTTACACTGAAACTGAGATTTCTGAGTTTCTTTTACTGTCATTTTTTCTGTAGAGGAAGTAAAGACCCTGTAACTCTGGATGTATTTGTTGTTTGAGGTGCAGTATATGACTCAGCAGCTTTAAGACATGAAGACACTATCATTTTCCACTTCGCTCTAATGAAAGTGCCGGAGCACTAAGTGCCGGGGCACTAAGTACGGCAAAGTACTTGGTGTGAAAGCGGCTATTGCTTTCTAAAGTTACATCATGTTTTCTTTATTCAGTCTGGAGCGCTGCAGGTTGTCAGAGATCAGCTGTTCTGCTCTCATCTCAGCTCTGAAGTCCAACCCTTCACATCTGAGACTTCTGAACCTGAGTCTCAACAAGCTGCAGGATTCAGGAGTGGAGCTGCTGAGAGATCTTCTGGAGAGTCCAGACTGCAGACTGGAGGATCTCGGGTCAGTAAGGGGTCGACTCTCTGCTGGTTCAGCAGTATTGTATTAAACACAGGGAGGTGGATTTGTTCCTCTCACTGGGGAATCTCTCCAGTTCCACCTTCCAGGCGTAGCCTAGCTTAGCACAACAAATCATGGATGTTACCATTTGTCTGCAGTTTCTCCTTTTGTTCATCTTATGTTTCTTTACTTTCATTCTCCCAAGAACAATATAATGCAAGCTGACAATGCAAAGCCACATGTTAGGCTGGTGCCCCACGAGGACGAAAATGGGTTGTATCCGCATATTTCTCTTGCGTATAGCCCTTTTTGCCACACGAGGCCGTAACTAAACGATAGAAACGGACCCCGCAAACGATAACGGGTCCAAAGGTGGATAGATCTGGGAACGGAGCGCTCTGGGGGGTCATACGTGTGTGATCGCCTCTATACGATCATTTTGTGATAATGATGACGCAATAGCCCTGCCTCCCCCACCTCTGCTGCTCACCCCTGCAAAAGTAAACTGCACACTGAATTCAGATTATTTATCTTTATCTCGATATGGACATAAACGCGAGTGAAGTCTAATCTGACAGGACGGAGACACGCAGCTCCTCCCGCTGTGATGCAGCAGGAACAACAAAACACAGACTTCAAGTCAGATCATCACCCTTAGCTATTTTAATTAGCCTATCTCTCAAACTACCTAAACTAGTTATAAATATGTTTATTTTTTACTGTCGGCCGGGTCACTCATTACTGGATCAGCTGCTGCATGAGACTGACACTGACGCTGTCAGAAGAGAGGAAAAAGAGAGGACAGGCTCTGTATTTTATTATTATATATAGTCGTTATTCATTTGTTTTAAAGCTTAATAAATAACAAAGAAGACCTTTGACCGGCACTTTTATAATTTTGTCCGGAAGATTTAAACTTTTACACACGTTTACCGGCGAAAAACTCTGCCCGGTTCCCTCGGCCCCCACCACGGTGAATAAGCAGAAGGGCAACCATGCTTCTTCGCTGCTTTTGTGGAGGAAGTTACAGCTAAACGGAGCTGTCTCGTGTGAACAGACACTATCCGGTGTATATTGCGTGTGGACCATAGACTGTATATATAAATGGACGTAGGGTCCGTGACGTCACCCATAGGATTCTGCAGAGTTGCCGAGAAGCCCTTAGTAGGCGGAGTCGGCCACTAACGGCTCGACAGTGACGTCTGAGTCTAACTCCCGCCTGCTCCAGCCTGCTCCAAATAAGGGCAAAGAGGCGGAGCCGAGGCGGGACCTTCTGCCTCCAGCTGGGAAGTAACAGAGCTAGCTCAAGCTAAGAAGCTAAGCTAACATGCTTCCCCATCAGCACACTGCCGTCACATTTTACGTTTCTAAGGTAAGCGGACATGAAACTATTCAGCAAAACTATAAATAATAATCTAAGTTATTGAGTTTTTAGCATAATACTTCAGAATCTTAAAATCCCTTAACATTTGTATGCAATGTGCTAAATGCAACACTGGAATCAAGCAAATATTAATATGTTTGCATGACATTAGTTATTTATATTTTGCTATCACTTAATTATACGTTTAATACATTTAAGTTAAGCTAAGGTGCATGTGATGATAGCTAGTTAGTGCTCTTACCTGTGAGGCCTCCTCCAAACAGCATTATAACCAGACTGTATCATTACAACTATAAGTACCAGTTCTAGATCCTTGACTTTAGACAAACAATTCAAAAGACAAAATGTATTTAAAGACCAATCTTTATTTGAAGGTGCCTCTTAACCTGAGATATTAGTTATACAGTAATAGTATTGACAATCTAAAAAAACTGAGCAACTCAACAGTCAACTTTATATTTCTTATTGTCTAAAGCATTTATTATTTTCATTTTCCCCTCTCATATTCAGTGTGGACGGATTGAGACAGCGTGGTGTCCAGAGAGCTGCAGAGACTTCAGGGAGAAACCTCCGTATGATGGACGTCCTGTCTGATGGTTTGGAGAGGACTGAGGGTCTTTCCTCTGTGAGGAGGACCAGGCCTGATGGAGGAGCCCATTCATAGCTGATACCACCTGATCAGGCCTAGTCTGTCACTTTATTTGACTAAATGTGTTTACTTATACATTTAATAGGTTTACACCTTCTGTCCATATGTGCTTTTTATTTAAAACATGTTTGATTAACTTTTGGTTCACATTTCAATAAATTGAATTTGTATTTGCACTCCTTTTGTCCATTATTCTTACTGAAAATGTTAGATTACACATTCACATCCGACTGAAGATTGGCCCCATTTATTTGCGTTGCAAACTCTGCGGTACAAGGCACATGTTGTGAAGCTCATAAAGTGAGGCAAATAGAATTAATCAGCTGATGGAGTGTAGATGTGGAAATAGGTGCATTCGATCAGCTGACTTCACAATAAAAGTAGTTTCTTAGTGAATGTCCTGTACTGGTCTTAACATCTCATGACATCAGCTTTTAATTTTCCTCTTGGATGTTCTTCTTGACCCTCAGAGAAGGAGAAAATGTTGAGTCGTGTCTTTCAGGCATGTCCTTTCCTAACAAAAATTACAGGAAACATAAAACATATTATTGCAGAACAAGTGTGTTATTTATGAAAGAGGTGTGCTTGTGTTTAGGGGCTGTAGATATAATTATTTTGTAATTGTAATGTTTTATTTTATTTCAACAGTGAGCTACAAAGACAATCAGATTATGAATGAACAGTATGACATTCATCAACATTGAAATATATTTTATTATCAAAATAATATTTAACTGTTATCAAAACTTAGTGCAACTGTAGAAGCTTGCTCTGTTCTCTCACTGAAATCATAACTTTTACCACGTTTTTTACAGACAATATTGAGAGATAAATAGCAGTTGTCACTAATAGCTTTGCCTTCAATACCTTAAATTAGAAAGCTGACAGTCATATTGCTTGTTAACATCTAAATGTAACCCTTTGCATGGAAAAAACCCTCAACTTCACTGATGTGTAGGTGATCTAGTATTTAGTATTGTTTAATGGAATGTATATCAGTGTATTAAAGTCAATACTTCATTTATTTAAACCAATATCTTTCTTGATTCTTTGTACAGTATGAAAAAAGAGTATTTGTACCTGTGCTGAAGTTCACTGCTGTGAGGAGTCCAGTTCTGTCTCTCACTCTCTGGTCCATCCTGTCTGCATCACCTGGAAACTTTAAACAAACAGATATATATGTAAAGAACCATGTGTACAAACAATATAACTTATTCTCTTCTGTTGAACATGTTGGATTGTGTATTGTCCGAGTCAGGGTTCTTTTTATTTTACTGTAACTTTGGAAGTTGTGTTACCAATGCTGTTGTGTTACTGTTTATTTGATACCAATTTGGTAATGCACATTTCCTGCTGAAATACATGCATACCAAGTTACTGCGTGGCACTTTGGTTTTGATAAAACAGTGTAGTTCCACTATATAAACGTTACATTCATAATCAAACGAAACAATCTGCAAGATAATGAGCTATTTGTTGTTATTTTTAATGCGTGTCCTTCACACGTTAATCAAATAAAATAAGTACCGATACATAGCAGAACAATTGTGGCGATGTTCAGCTTAATAAGCCTTGTTCAACATAATTTATTTAGCTAATACTACAGCGGGCTGCAGGCGAACCAAGTCTGCGTTTCGCTGCATTCCTTGATCTCCAGTTATAATGCCGGACTCCGCCGCCGGCCGAAGCTAACGGAGCCGCCGGGACGCGCTAGCGAGCTAGCCCCCTGCGGCTCCGTTAGCTTCGGCCGGCGTGGACTCCGGCGGCCACCACTGGGATAATTGGGTCCCCTTTTAACATTTGCTCCCGTTTAGCATTATGGGCGTCACAGCCATATACTATAAAAGGCTGAATCATAAACTAAACTGTATATATATATATATACACATGTATAAAGGGTTACGTCCTTAGCTGGCTAATAAGCTACATAATAAGCTACATAACAAGCTAAACTAACAAGCACACAAACACCTGCTAACGGGATTAACATGTATAATATTATCATTTTACTCACCGAAAAAAGCTGAGAGTAGACTTCTTGGAAGGTCTGTTAGTACATTCAAGCGCACAGCACTACATTTCAATTGTCTGGTATTTGTAACAATATTCCCTAAAAGGCACAATCACCACGAACACGGCTAAAGGGTCAAGTACAGCAACTACAACTAACTAACGTTGTAGCCTAGCAGAGTGGACAAATTGCTGTTAGCTGACAGTGAGGCACGTACCTGTCCATCAAAGTGACCACGCCCTAATTTATGCAAAAACTTTAAGACCTAATATAAATAAAAGGGTCGTGTTAGAAAACAATTCACTCACAGATCCATAATCATGAAGGTGGAATCTAACTATATTCATAATAATATTTATTGGATCCATAGGTAGAAACATGTTTTTTTAGGCTGTGAAATTGGGCATTTTAACATTGGGCTCTATGGAAATTGCTCCTTTCTGCAGTCAGCGCCTATCGGCCAATATATGAACTGCAGTTTGTGGCACTTCCGCATTGGCGTCCCGGCTCTTCCCCAGAGTTTGCCGCTTGGTGTGGACGGAAGCTTTTTTGCGATTGCGTTAATCCTATGCGTTTTGCCGTATGCGTTCCCGTGGGGCAAGCACCTTAGTCAGTGCAACTTGTTACCAGACATATGGGATTCTACAGAAAATGTGTTAACTGTGGCAGACTAATGTTGAGCTTTAAATTAAAATATAACAAAAAAATCCACTTTCCACTTTATAAACTCCTAAATTCTCTACTTCTCCAGCTATAAACAGATTATTGAACCTTGAATATTTTAAGCTGAAACTTTTCTAAACTTACATCATGTTTTCTTTATTCAGACTGATTGGCTGCAGTTTGTCAGAGATCAGCTGTGCTGCTCTGATCTCAGCTCTGAAGTCCAACCCATCCCACCTGAGAGAGCTGTACCTGAGTGACAACGATCTGCAAGATTCAGTGAAGCTGCTGAGTGATCTTCTGGAGAGTCCAGACTGCAGACTGGAGGATCTCACGTCAGTTCTCCATTTTTTACTTCTGTGCTGAGATGAATATGTGAGAGTTGTGTTGACTCTGAGCTGCAGACATCAGGCTGATATTATCCTGATCCTCACTGAGTATCTTAATGCTAAAGTATGTTTTCTTCTTCTGTGGTTTCTTTCCCTGACTCTGGCAGAGCAATGTTAAGGAAAAATCAAACTCTGCATAATTTAGTGAGAATGCTGACACAGCATTCCAACTATCTGTTATGCTACGCACGAAATTCTCTATTATTCCGCCGGGTTATTTTGCGCTGCTTCTTCTCCCACATTGAACATCGCAGAAACTCCGTTCAAACATCAAAACGTTCAGCTCGGTCGGGAATCAATGGCTATTACTTTTATCATTCATAACTTTCATAATTCCAGAGATACATCCCATAATACATCCCATTTTTAACATGGAAGTCAATGGAGAACTCTTCAGACTTCAACAATCTTCATGCAACTTCTGTGGTGGCTGTACTTCCCCAGCCGTCTCCTTTGTGTTTGTTTTCTTTTCCCCTGTCTGTGTTTGTGTGAGCGTGGTGGCTGTCACTCCTGGCTCCTGGCTCAACCTCCACTCACCTGCTGCAATCAGCTGTGCACCCTCCCCGACTACACACCTGCTTCCCATCAAGCCATTTACAACGGCATATCAACGGAGGCTCCACAACCTTTCTGCGCCAGATTGTTGTAAAACCATAGTGGTATAACTTCAAGGCTACTTAGCATTATAGCCATTTACTCATACCTGGATGTTTTACCGTCTAACTTGTTTTCTTCTTGTGCTCCAGCATCATTCTCCGACCGACCTTTGATCTCTGGACACGTCGTTAGCTCAAATATAAACACCTGTGTCATGGAACACGATGATGTCATAACTCCAATTGACATAATTAGAGCAGCAGACTAATGACGTGGTCACTGGAGTTTAGACTGGCTCAGCCTATTTTTTTCCGTCTGATGGAGACTTCATACTGACTTCAACATGTTCCACATATTTTAGACATTATTGGTGACGTATGCTTTTAGTTCTAAAGTTTGTTTTTCTAAACTCACATCATGTTTTCTTTATTCAGTCTGTGGAGCTGCAGTTTGTCAGAGATCAGCTGTTCTACTCTGATCTCAGCTCTGAAGTCCAACCCATCCCATCTGAGATATCTGGACCTGAGTTTCAACAATCTGCAGGATTCAGGAGTGGAGCTGCTGAGAGATCTTCTGGAGGGTCCAGACTGCAAACTGGAGAGTCTCATGTCAGTTCTCCATATTTTACTTCTGTGCTGAGATTAATATGTGAGAGTTGTGTTGACTCTGAGCTGCAGACATCAGGCTGATATTATCCTGATCCTCACTGAGTATCTTAATACTGAAGTCTATTTTCTTCTTCAGTGGTTTCTTTCCCTGACAGTGGCAGAGCAATATTAAGCTTTAAATGTAAATATTACAATAAGAATTATACTCTGCATAATTCACACTGAACCTCCATCAAGCTTCATTTTACTACATTATATAAAAGACAAATTAGTACAATTAATAAGTATTTCCAATCAAACACAAAAACATATATTCAGTATTTGCTTCTTCCAACATTTTTATGAAGCTAAAAGATGCTTATACTGACTGAATAGTTTAAACTGACCATGTGATCATGTGTTCTTTATTCAGACTGAGGAGCTGTAGGTTGTCAGAGATCAGCTGTTCTGCTCTGGCCTCAGCTCTGAAGTCCAACCCCTCCTATCTGAGACATCTGGACCTGAGTAACAACGATCTGCAGGATTCAGGAGTGGAGCTGCTGAGAGATCTTCTGGAGAGTCCAGACTGCAGACTGGAGACTCTCGGGTCAGTAAGGGGTCGACTCTCTGCTGGTTCAGCAGTATTGTATTAAACACAGGGAGGTGGATTTGTTCCTCTCACTGGGGAATCTCTCCAGTTCCACCTTCCAGGCGTAGCCTAGCTTAGCACAACAAATCATGGACGTTACCATTTGTCTGCAGTTTCTCCTTTTGTTTATCTAATGTTTCTTTTCTTTCATTATTATCAAGCAATATAATACAAGCTGACAATGCAACGCCACATTTCATTCAGGTGCAACTCATTAACAGACGAATGGGATGTTACAGTTAAAAAGGTAGTCTGTTTGTTTTTCTATGTTCCTGGACTAATGCCTAGTTAATTCTCTAATGCAGCTGAGAGCTGTGGGCAGTGTTACGTTCCCTCCAAATCTAGGGGTACCAAGGGAAGTAACAAAACACAACGTTGACCAGGCACGAGAAAAAAGAGAGGAAACCGTTCTCTGGAGTCACGAACAGGCCTTTTAATAGTCAAAAAAAGAACACAGGCTGCTCACCAGCTAACTTGCACATTAAACTAGTGTCCCATATCCAGGAGCACATCTCTTATTGATCTACAGAACACAGGTTGTACGCATGCAGCCAGAGGAGGAAAATGGGGAATCACTGCAGTCTTCCTCCGGTCCTATATGGAGGCCCTGATTGGGAATTAGGAGCACTTGGGGAGAGGCTGCACCTGGGGAATCAGAGGGAGAGAGAGAAAGACACACACACACACACACACACACAAACACTACGGCACGTAACAGCAGTCAGTCGTAGTGTTTGCAGAGAAGATATGATGTGATGTAAAGCATTGGATCAGTCTGGACTCTGAAGCTGACTAACTCAAAGAACAAACTATTATTTTAACTTGATCTAAAACTGTTGGATTGTGTTCATCCCTGCAGGATCAATGACGAGACAATCACAGCCAAGATACAGAAGAACTGTGAGTACTGAACCATATCCTCCATTCATCAAGATATTTTACAATACATCTGATCTTAAAAGGTATTTATAGTACAAGAATTATTATTGTTTTATTCTTATTTTTCTCTGTCACCTCTTCTCTCCATCAGGTGACTCCAATGTGGAACAGGAAGTGAAGACAGACAGAAAGGTGAGAGAGGAGCAGTTGAGAGTTGAAGCAAGAACTTAACTTGATTTCTAATCAAATAAATAACTTTGTTTGTTCCAGGCTCCTGAATCCTTCTCACCTGAACACACAACTGAGTCTTCATACAGGTAATCCTATAACATGACCACATTTTATTTTAAACACATTAAAAATATATATTAATTTAATTTTGTTTCATTTCAAGTCTTTCAGCTTGAGGTATTGCATCCAATCTCTTTCCAACAGACATAAATAAAATAATGCCTCTGTGTGTAGGATTGTTTTCTTGTACCAGTCTAGATCCTCGCTGGACTAGACATTTTGTTAATTTAATGAAAATGTGTTTACACACATTCTGATGCATGTGGACACATCTTCAGTGATGCTCCTGTAATCATCAGGTGTTTCAGATCTTTCAACAAACCCTCCTCCAGGTCAGACTCCAGCTGGATGAACACCTGTCAGTCAGAACACAGGCCAGTGAAGGCTTGTTGTAGTAACTTGTCTCTTGTGTGTCTACAGGTTCAGGTGTCCTGGTCCAGGTATGTTCCAGTGTGCTTCGACTGGCCTGGTGTTCGTCATGGCTCAGGAGGCGGAGCTTTTGTACAGGGCGGCCACTTGGGATGAGAGCCTCCTCCAATCAGCTGGCAAGCAGGCAGCAGGGCCGCTGTTCGATGTGAAGAGTTCTGATGAAGCTGCCGTCTGCCAGCTCCACCTGCCACACAGCGAGACAGAGGATGGTAAAGACATCTGCAGTGTTAACAAATACACTTATATAATGTTTAGCACCTTATACCATCCACTACTGTTCAAAAGTTAACTAGTTTAACAAAGACAATAAGACTGTTAACCACCAGAACTGTTGAAGCAACATCTGTTAAACACCTGAACAGTTGAAACAACATCCCTAATATTCTCACACAATTACTTTCTGATTTAGATTGGATGGACGCTGGCGTTGCTTGTCCGCCGCTCCACCACCTAAGTCCTATTTGTTTTATTGTTTCCAGTCCAGATTTGAAAACATTTTTTGTCTGGCTAAAACAACAGTTAAATGTTAATTAACATCAGTATCTTTTTGTATTCATCTATATACCGAATCGCTACTTTTGTTGCTTGACGCTGCTGTCACCAACCTGCTGGCTCATCGGTTCCTAGCTCGCTAGCTAGCAGACCCTTAGCCATCCGGTGGCTACAACGATAAACAGAATACTCTCGTCTCTACCTGAGCTCCACGGCTTGTCTCACTGGAGTCTCTCCATCCCGGTGTGGTCAGCCTACCTGCTCTCGTCCCCTACTCGGGCTTCCCCCGCTGACGTTTTCCCTCCCAGGCGGTCATCGGCCAGTGGCTATCAGGCTAGCTAGCAAGCTAGCGGGCTCGTCGCCCGGCATCCATTCTCCGCACGGACGTCAGTCACTCCTTCCCACCTCTCCTCCGCAAACCGCAGACATCGTCCTCCTGTGATGCTGTGGATTATCCTGTGGCTTTCACCCGGGCTCACACCACTCCTTCTGCCACAGTCATCCGGCCCCTGGTTTCCGGCAACAGCTAGCTCTGTGCTAGCCCCACACCCCCTGATCATGCCACCGCTTTTCTCCGCTTCAGACCTCCACTCTCTGAATAACCACCTGCCTCCCGATTGTATGGACATCCTCAAGGAGACGGGTTTACTCCGCGGACGACGGCCTCCACACAGAGGCTCAGGCCATACGTTTTTCTCCCACTCTACGTCTCCACACTCCATCCCGTCCATCTGGTCGTGCTGCACTTCCGCATTATGCCACAACAACAACAAACAACACGTGAATCTGACCAATCTCCGACCACTTCCCCGGTCCAGCCATCTAATCACAGCGCAACGCCCTCTAAAAGCGGCCCTCCTCAACACCCGCTCCATGAACAATAAAAGCGACATTCTAAACGAATTCATAACGGACAATAACCTGGATTTCCTCTTTCTCACTGAGACCTGGCAAAAACCTCTGGACTATTTCTCATTAAACCAAGTCACTCCATCAGGATTCACCTATTTTGATAAACCGCGTCCACAAGGACGGGGTGGTGGTATTGCTGCTATTTTTAGGAAGGATGTGAAAGCCACCACCATCTCCATCCCTGATATTCCCTCATTCGAGCACCTGGTATTAAAGCTCTCTGGTCCCACTCCCCTGGTCACAGCCATCATTTACCGCCCTCCAAAACAAAATCCCACCTTTTTCTCCAACCTCTCTGACCTTCTAACCCAGCTAAGCGCAATATCTCCATCTGTGCTGCTCGTAGGGGATTTCAATATCCACATTGATGACCCAACCATGACCCATGCCATCGAATTTCTGGAAACTCTACAATGCTTCAACTTTACACAGCACATCAACTTCCCCACACACAGCCGTGGACACATCCTGGACCTAGTCTGCTCCACTGGTCTCACCGCCCACCACCTATCCAGCCTCGACCTTCACATCACCGACCATCTGGCCATCACCATGGACATTAATATTCCCATCCTCAAGCGCACAATAATCTTCAGAAACCTTAAATCCCTGTCTCCCTCAGCACTCTCAGCCTGCATCACCTGCAAGATGTCCGCCTTCCCTCCCCCCCACCTGACAATCCATGTCAACTGGTGGACTACTACAACACCACCCTCTCCTCCTGTCTTAATGAACTGGCCACCCAAAAAACCAAAACTGTCTCTTTCACACATTCAGCTCCCTGGTACACCCCCGAACTCCGCCAAATGAAATCACAAAACACCAACTGGAACGCCTTCATAAGAAAACCACTCTAACAGTTAATCTCCATGCCTACACCGACTACCTACATCAGTACAATAACGCACTCAAAGCAGCCCGGTCCAACTACTACTCACAACTGATACACTCCGGCTCCAGCAACCCCAAGGCTCTGTTCTCCACCATCAGCACACTCCTTAAACCCTGTGACAACGCCACCCCATCCTTCACAACCGCACAGTGCAATTCTTTCCTCTCATTCTTTCAATCCAAAATCGACAGCATCTATAGAAACCTGACCTCAACAGCCCTCCCCATCTCCCCTCCTGGCTCCCCCCCTTCACCTCACAGCCCCTATCCCGGTTCTCCCCTGTGACCCCAATGCAACTGTGGCTGGAATGAACTCCACCTGCACTCTGGACCCCATACCAACTACATTTGTCAGGGAATGCCTCCCTCCCATCTCCCAACTCATAACCACAATCATTAACTCCTCCCTCTGCTCTGGATCAGTCCCCCCCTCACTCAAACTGGCTGCTGTTACACCCATACTGAACAAACCTGGACTCACACCTGACATCATGTCCAACTTCCGGCCCATCTCCAATCTCCCCTTCCTATCAAAACTACTCCCAACTGAAATCCCACCTCAGCTCCAATAACCTGTTTGAACCCTTTCAATCAGGATTCCGCACAAAGCACAGCACAGAAACAGCCCTCCTCAGAATCACTAACGACCTCCTCCTCTCCTCAGACTCCGGCAATCTCAACATCCTCATCCTCCTCGACCTCACAGCAGCGTTCGACACCATCAACCACATCATCACTTAACATCACTGACACTGCACTCTCCTGGCTGAAATCATACCTCACCAACAGACACCAGTTCATCCACATAAATAACTGCACTTCCTCCACTGCCCCTCTGTCCCAAGGCGTCCCCCAGGGTTCGGTGCTTGGTCCTCTCCTCTTTATCCTCTATATGCTCCCCCTTGGAAAAATCATCCGCCGCCACAACCTCCAGTATCACTGCTACGCGGATGACATCCAACTCTACATTTCCACAAAAACCATCACTGCCACAACTCACTCCACACTCACCAACTGTCTACCTTCAACTGAACAGCGACAAATCAGATATCATCATAATCGGACCCACATCCCGCACCAACACCACCCAGAACTTCAACCTCACCCTTGACAACACCACTCTAACCCCCTCTCCTCACATTCGCAACCTTGGAGTAATCTTTGACAGCCAGCTCAAATTCGACAAACACACAAACCATATCACCAGGACTGCCTTCTTCCATCTAAAAAAAAATTGCCCGCCTCCGCCCCTCACTCTCCTTCCCGGCTGCTGAAACCCTCATCCACGCATTTATCACTTCAAGACTGGACTACTGCAACAGCATCCTGTATCGTTCATCATCCAAAATTCTAAATAAACTACAATACATCCAGAACTGCGATGCCCACCTCCTCACCCACACCCGCTCCAGAGACCACATCACCCCAGTCCTTCAAAACCTGCACTGGCTCCCTGTCCGTCAACGAATACACTTCAACATCCTTCTGCTAACACACCCCCTACCTCACTGACCTGATCCACCACTACACCCCTTCCCGCAGCCTTCGTTCATCAGAAGCGAACCTCCTCTCTATCCCCACACGAACCAAGCTCCGAACCTGGGGGGACAGAGCCTTCTCCATCGCTGCCCCCACCCTCTGGAATTCCCTTCCACAACACATCAGAGACTGCACCGACCCCCCCACTTTCAAAACACTGACCAAAACACACCTCTTCAGACTGGCTTTTAATTTGTGAATTATGTTGTGTTGCTGTTTTTAATATATATATATTTTGTTTAATTCTATTTTATCTTGTTTTATCACCACTGTAAAGCGTCTTTGAGCACCTGAAAAAGCGCTTTGAAATTAAATGTATTATTATTATTATTATTTAGTGGGAATGCTGATACAGCATTCCAACTATTCATAACTTTCATAATTCCAGAGATACATCCCATAATTCATCACATTTTTAACATTGAAGTCAATGGAGATATTCTTCAGACTTCAACAAATCTTCATGCGACTTCAACTGCTAACTGTTCATTCATACTTTCTCTCAGAAACCTCATTCCAACTTTAAAATGTTACACATCTTTCTGACATTATTCGTGTAACACAACTTTTAAATCTGATTCTTACTTTTAGAGATATTAAACATTGTTCAGACCTTGTTAAAGAGGTTTTCTTCAGATTTTAACATTAACTAGAGTGCGTGATGTCACAGCTAAAGGGTAAGAAATCTTGAAATGTGCCTTCATATTTTTTTTTAAAACTGCCATAATTCCCAAACCCTACATTCTTGAGACATAATTTTTCATGACAAACGTAGGAAAACATCTCGTAGTTTGAAAAATGACAAATAATTAAGCAAAAATAATTAAACAAAATGCCTCTTGAGGGCATGAAGTGACAAAAATGTTCAACATGTCTCCATTAAAGCCCATTGTAATTTCAGGCAGATATTTCCTCACAGCAGCAGCCGCACACCTTTAGTTAAACTGCCAAAAAGGCCACATTATTAACCCGAAAGTACACAAAAATTACACTTCAGATACTCAACTTCCTTGACATGCTTCACGTTTTGAAATTTCACAGATATCTGTTATCGTTCTTCCACAAAACATTCACATGTAAGAGGTTTATCTGTCTCTCTCTCTCTCTCTCTCTCTCTCTCTCTCTCTCTCTCTCTCTCTCTCTCTCTCTCTCTCTCTCTCTCTCTCTCTCTCTCTGCCACACCGGTCCATGCCTCAACAGCTCTACGCCAAATCTGAAATCTCACCATATGCCGTTTCCATGGAAACGCATCCCTCGCCATAAAACACAATGTCCCTTTAACTCCTATGAAAATGTTCAAAAAGTGCTCAAAATTCACATTTGTGCTAACAGTCCAGCCGTGAAGACATCTACGAGACAGTTTTGAGATTTCTTCAAATGCCGTTGCCATGGCAACACAATGCTCGCCATGAAACACGATGTCGCTGTAACTCCAATGGACACGGTCCGATCGTCCCCAAACTTCGCTTGTATATCACCGGTCCATGCCTCAACAGCTCTACGCCAAATCTGAGATCTCACCATAGGCTGTTTCCATGGAAACGCATCCCTCGCCATAAAACACGATGTTGTCGTGATACCTATGCAAATGATCCAAACACCACCAGTCTTCAGATGACAGTTAATGGTCCAGCCCTCAACATGTCTATATACCATTAGTGAGTTTTCCTCAAAAGCTGTTGCCATGGCAACGCATCCCTTGCATTAAAACACGATATTGCTATAACTCCTATTGTCAAAAAGTGCTAAAACTTCACATGTGTGCTAACGGTCCAGCCGTGAAGACATCTACGGGACAGTTTTGAGATTTCTTCAAATGCCGTTGCCATGGCGACAGACCACTCGCCATGAAACACGATGTCGCTGTAAGTCCAATCGACGCGGTCCAATCGTCCCCCAATCTTCACTTGTATATCACCGGTCCATGCCTCAACAGCTCTACGCCAAATCTGAGATCTCACCATATGCCGTTTCCATGGAAACGCATCCCTCGCCATAAAACATGATGTCGCTATAACTCCTATGAAAATGTTCAAAAAGTGCTCAAACTTCACATGTGTGCTAACAGTCCAGCCATGAAGATATCTACGGGACAGTTTTGAGATTTCTTCAAATGCCGTTGCCATGGCAACACAATGCTCGCCATGAAACACGGTTTTCTCATAACTTCAGTGAAAATGCTTCAAACGGCCCAAAACTTCACAGGTTTGGTAACGATGCAGCCATCAACGCATCTAAGTGTATTATGGGGTGTCATCAAATGCCGTTGCCATGGCGACAGACAACTCGCCATGAAGCACGATGTCGCTGTAAGTCCAATGGAAACGGTCCGATCGTCCCCCAAACTTCACTTGTATATCACCGGTCCAGCCCTCAACAGCTCTACGTCAATTATGGGGTTTCTTCAAATGCCGTTGCCATGGCAACACAATGCTCGCCATGAAACACGGTTTTCTCATAACTTCAGTGAAAATGTTCTAAATGGCCCAAAACTTCACAGGTTTGGTAACGACGCAGCCATCAACGCATCTAAGCGTATTATGGGGTGTCATCAAATGCCGTTGCCATGGCGACAGATCATTCGCCATCAAGTTAGTTCAAAAGGTTGCAGTTCAAATATTCTGCCGCTTTTCCAAGCCTTTTTAATTTCTTTTCTTCACTCATCACACATTCAAGCCCCCAGTGTTCATGTATCATTTCAATCTAAATTCTTCACTTTCTTCTTACACATTACATTTCAGCATTGCAGTTTAGCGTCAGCTTTTCAGCATAAAGCATTCCCACTAGCAATTTCTTCAGGAATTGCATTCTCTAGTTATTACTTTGTTATCCATCTCTTGCTCTTTCTGCTCTTTACATTGTCAGTCTGGCTGAAGCATGTACAAAACAAAACAACAGACAACAACATTTATAAGTTAGACTTTATACGCCCTAAAAGCTTTAGAGAACTCTTCACACATCTAGAGAATCACTCAGACATGAGTCAAGCTGTTCTGGCTGCAGATTACAAACATTTCAGCAGTCTTGTAAATTAGAAAATAATTACGCATGCTCACATCCAGAAAGATCACAGGGGGACGGAACAATAATTAAACATTACAAATAAAAGGTGAAGGATATAAACTGGTACATCCCAGTGAGGCTCCAAAGTGAATGACATTAGATGAACATTAGCTCTGAGCTAAAGTGGTGTGACATTGAAGATGATGAAGCTGTTTTATGCAACACATGACCAGCTCTTTGCTCCACAGCGCTGCTCCTGGACGGCCTGTTGTCTGTCGTCCACATCACTGATGAAGGCCTGAGCATCTTGGAGCCGCTGGAGGTCACACACACTCATGTGGTGGTGAAGGTGCTTCACCTCTCTTCCTTTGGCCTTATCATCGATACATTGAAAAGGCTTCTAAAGTGGCGAATAAAGGGCCAAATTCTGCTGTTCCTACGACCCCCGGGCCGAGAGGAACAAATACTGGATGTATTTCTGCTGCAGAACAACGTCCTTGAGGAGGAGGTAATGTGCTCACCATCAGCCTATATGCTTGTTTTAAACCACAGCTGTTTCCACAGAGAAGTTGTGGCCCCAGGCTCCCTACTGAATAGAATTGGAGGGATGAAACCCTCTTTAATGGTCACACATAAATGCACACACAGTGAAATGTGTTCTCTGCTTTAACCCATCCTAGTACCAGGAGTCTAGTACTAGGAGCAGTGGGCAGCTAGTGTACAGCGCCCGGAGAGCAATGGGAGTGGGAGGGTGGGGGGTGGTACGGTGCCTTGCTCAAGGGCACCACGGCAGGGCAGTAGGTGAACTGGGACCTCTCCAAGTAGCAGTCCACACTCCATATTTTACGTCTGTTCGGGGACTTGAACCGGCGACCCTACAGCTCACTAACCCCTACTGATAGAGCCACTGCTCCTCTTTTCAAACTTTCTTGGTTGTGAGAACAGAAAACGGTCGTCTCCTGTGTGCTCCACTTCCTACTTGGGGCACCGGTAACTTTCTCGTGCGAACGAGAAATTACCTTGTGCGAACGAGAAAAGTATATTGTGCGCATGAGATACTTTTTTTTTTTTTCCATGACCCTTTAGGCAGGGATGGGCAAATTGGATGGTGGTGTGGGCCACATAATGTATGTACTGGCCACCAGGGGGCCGCAGATTCACTTGGAACACACACACACAAATTCCATGTATTGTATGTAATTATTAACAAATATACTAAGTCGGACATCTTCATTGACATTTTACAATCTTTCAGGGAACATCCTCTAATAAGCTCACTAAACAAATATCAGTTCACAGAAATGTTATTTCATTTTTACAAGTGGCATGTTTGTATTGAACAGGTTATTTAACAGTGGAATAAAACTATTTTAAACTATTGGAAAGCTAGGAAAATGTGTGTGCATTGAGATTAACCATTAAGATGACATAAACATGAAGTCATGAACACTACCCAGACATTAGTTGTCTAACTTGAACCTAAGACACTTTGTAGCCTCTCTCTGCTGACGCACAATAAGGGGAATGTCAACACAGACACCTGTCAACCCGCACTCTGCTGTTCCTCAGCACCGCTTCCCCTCCGTCCCGCTGAAATTATGAATGAAAAGCGTATAGTAATCATAGATAACACGGCAGGGTCCGTGACATTTTGTTTTCATCTGATTTCAAATAAACAAAGTCTTGGTTTTTAGAATATTAAACTTGTTTCGCCAAATTCAGATGATAAATACAACTTTCAAGCTTAAGGCATAATTACAAATGGTAACTTAAATTCACAGCAGGCATAACAACAGCCGGTGTTTCTTGTGAGTGTTTCACCGGGAAACAAACACAATACACACAAACTCGTCACAGATTATTTCGCGGTATTTGGCGAAATCATGTACGCAGCTCGCGACGTAACTAGGAGTCTAGTGGATGGTATCAGTACTACAAGTAAATAAATAAAAAATAAATTCTTTTTTTAATTAATTACGTTGTTTATAAATTAAAGGTGGGGTAGGTAAGTTTGAGAAACCGGCTCGAGATACACTTGTTGTTATATTCCATGGAATGCTCTTAACATCCCGATAGCAATGAATATCTTAAGTGCTTTGACAAAAAATCCATAAAAAAATGTCATCTGTGGAAGCCGTAGTACTGTAAAAAGCACGACCAATCATTTTAGCCGGCCCGGCTAAAGTAACTGGATGGCCTACCTGCCTGTCAGCCTTCCATCTGTGCACAAACTTATCTCGTGCCCTCATTGGTCATGTGCGCGTTCGTGTGTGTTGGAGGAGGGGCTCTGTAAGGAAGTGGCAGATTTTCTCCGGTTGTGTATTTTCAAATTCTAGCGATCTCGAGCTGGTTTCTCCAAAATTACCTACCCCACCTATAATCTGAGGGCTGCAAAAAGAGGAGGTGGGCCATTTGCCCATCCCTGCTTTAGGAGCTCCGTAGTTGTCAACATTAACGTGTCAAAACTCGCGATTAATCTGGAAACCTTGTTATGACATCATAAAGTGGCCAAAATCTGATCAGCTCATTTTCAGACAGGTTTTTATTTAAATGGATCAGGACAAAAAGAAGAATCTTTTTTTTTTTACACAGAGGGGACACATGTTGATGTAGAAAAGACATGAAGAAGTGGATTTTGCTTAACCTGTTAAGCCCGAGAGACCCCGGTACCGGTGTGTGGGGAAATTCCCCTTTGATTCTATTGGCTCTAACGGTCAGAAAGAGATGTCAATCACCAAAATCGACCAATGGGTTCCAGAGAAACGGTAAAACCCCCATTTCCACCCAAATCACCTCAGAGGTGGAGTTTTTTTTGCTAAACCTCTCATATAATAAACTATGAATGTTTTATATCCATGTAACGGGAAGAAACTCATCTAACTGATCATTTTTATTTATTTTTCAAAAGAAAACCCACAATGCTAACACTGAGCCTCTGAATTAGCAACGAGCGAAAAATGCTAACAGATTACTGCACCGAAAATCACTCACAAAACCTTATTATTTATATTTTCTCCACATCCATGACATCGTTTCACATCGTGAGGTGACACAGAATCGATGGGTACCCTCGTTATCACTGAATTATACGAAATCGCGACGTTATAAGCAAAAACAGACATCAAAACATTTGACGCTAGGTAGCTAAAAATGCTAACAAGGTTACCTTGGCTCTGTAGTCTCTCCAAAGTGGTCTTCAATGGCATTAAAACGATAAAAACGCTGCTGAAGTTAATCCATAGGTTAATCCAATGTGTCTGTGTCCCTTTGAAATGATTTCTGATAAACCATGAGCAATGAGACGGATAATCCATGCTTTTCCGTTTCTAGATGTCAGAGCTAGAGTGTAGCTTCACTCTAATGCAAAATTACATGCGCAAAGCCCCCACCTTTTTGTTTCACAATGAGTGTGTGTGGGGGACTCCCCCTTCGATTCTATTGGCTCTAACGGTCAGAAAGAGGTGTCAACCATCAAAATCGACCAATGGGTTCCAGAGATATGGAAAAGAAACCATTTCCACCCAAATCACCTCAGAGGTGGAGTGTTTTTGGCTAAACCTCTCTAAAAAGGTCAAATGTCACTTGTTTTGCATCAATCTTGATACAGGGTACTTATTATATGTTGTACTTTGGATTCCTAAAGCTTTTAGTCTACCTTACCATCATCCAAGGGTAGTTTTCACTATAAGTAAAAAAGAATCTTTGGACGGACACTATAATTTACAGTTTTTTACTATGTTCAATCTGAATTTTCTTTCAAATAAAAAACATCTATATTGATTCTGACTTTTCTACATCCAACTCACAGGTTTATCATTACTTTGATAAAAAATATTATTAATTTAACCCTTTTAGAAGGGAAGATATGGTCATTTGTTTTGGGAATGTCATTTTCGAGCCTGAGACCTGAAAAACAGGGTCAGGGCTTAACAGGTGACCTTTAAATCAATAACTGAAAATGACCATAACCAAGCATACGGATCGCATTGTCTTACTGAACCGATGAGCGGGTGGCTGCTGTGCTGGATAAAGGAGGGAACACAGCGGTGGACCTGGGGGAGGTGGCTGGAGGATATACTAGTTACAAAAAAAAATGTCATTTAAGTGAAATGTTTAATACTAACTGAGAACTAATAAAATAAAAGTAAAGAGAGGAAAACGCTAAGGTGATAAGGATTTGAGAGAATACAAAAAGGGGGTTACAGGGATGAGAGGAAAAGAGAGGAGTTGGCGTCTCCTATGTCCTTTTGTCTTCCTCAGGTAGGGGGATGGGTATAGTAACCCGCCCAGGTAATAAACCTTCTGGCTAAATTTAAACTTTCCTATCTGAAATAAATAGTAATTGTTTCAAATATCTAACTCTAGTGTTTGTTTAGATCAGTGGAGCAAAAAGTCCTTTGCTTGTCCTCAGGTCAGAGCCGGACATTAAGTATTCAAACTGAGGAGTTTTGTCCTTGATCTTCCATTAGACTGTCATAGTGATGTTAGCCATGGCTAGCCAACCCTCTGGTAGTTTTTAGGGATTAGAGCCGGCATCACGTGTGATCGCGTTACAGGAATTGGTCATGTGATTAATATGCATTCATTCTTTTAACGTGTCAAAGTTTCCAGATTAATCGCGAGTTTTGACACGTTAATGTTGACAACTACGGAGCCCTAAAGGGTCATGGAAAAAAAAAAGTATCTTGTGCGCACGATATACTTTCTCGTCCGCACGAGAAAGTTACCGGTGCCCCAAGTAGGAAGTGGAGCCCACAGGAGACGACCGTTTCTGTTATGTTTATGTGGGGAAATGGCATTGGATATATCATATATATATATTATTTGAGATATATTTCGAACTTTGACTTCATTTTAGGGACATTTCGGCCAGGGAGATATTTGTTTAAGCACCGGATTCACAAAACAGGAGAGTCTGTGGACCAGTCTGCCTTGATCTATGAATGAAGAGATGTGCCTTCTATGCACCGCCTTCACTTCATTAGAACAGCTGAAGAGAGACGAGGCTGCTACGTTTGAACCACACACACCTCTACACACACACACACACCTCTACACACATCGAACTGCCTGATTATTCCCCCTATTACTCGTTTTATGAAGGACATGTCCGGTCACCAGGGCACATGATGTGTGTGTGTGTGTTTGTGCTCTGCTCTGCTGCGCTCTGTGTTTGTGTGTTCGGTGTGTGTCCGACACCGGCATTTGTTTTCAAATTACCATGAACAGTAATTTACACACATCTGGCCAACTCCATAGGTATTTGTGTGTGTTCCCAAGTGAAAGAAGTTTATTTAATCTTAATCTTGATTTCAAACCTTTATTTAACCAGGTGAATCCCATTGAGATCATCGATCTCTTTTTCAAGGGAGACCTGCTGCAAGTAGGTTCCACATGAAGACATAAAACAACAGAAAAACAAAAAGCTTTCGTCCCTAAGACAGTCCTAGCACTTGGCACATTTAACAAAACCACAGCATGAGATCTCAGGCAATAGCTACTTTCAATTTGCCGTGTGATCAGAGAGCAGATGTAAGATGGTAGTTTACCCAACAACTCTGTAGATGAACATGTACCAGTGACTGAGCCTCCGTACAGTGAGTGAAGGCAAACCTGCCCTGGCATACAGGGTACAGTGATGAGTTAATACTTTACAGTTAGTCACAAATCTCAGTGCACTGTGATAGGCGGCATCTAACTTGATCAGGTAATGGGCAGGTGCATTCATATAGATCAGATCACCATAGTCCAGCACAGGTAAAAAGGTCACAGAGACTAGCCTTTTCCTGGCCTCAAGTGAGAAACAGGACTTGTTTCTGAAAAAGAAACCTAGCTTCACCCTCAGCTTTCTAAGCAGATTATTGACCTGAGGTTTAACCTGTTAAGCCCTGGGCCTGTTTTTCAGGTCTCAGGCTCGAAAATGACATTCCCAGAACAAATGACCATATCTTCCCTTCTAAAAGGGTTAAATTAATAATCTTTTTTCTCAAAGTAATGATAAACCTGTGAGTTGGATGTAGAAAAGTCAGAATCAATATAGATGTTTTTTATTTGAAAGAAAATTCAGATTTTACATAGTAAAAAACTGTAAATTATAGTGTCCGTCCAAAGATTCTTTTTTACTTATAGTGAAAACTACCCTTGGATGATGGTAAGGTAGACTAAAAGCTTTAGGAATCCAAAGTACAACATATAATAAGTACCCTGTATCAAGATTGATGCAAAACAAGTGACATTTGACCTTTTTAGAGAGGTTTAGCCAAAAACACTCCACCTCTGAGGTGATTTGGGTGGAAATGGTTTCTTTTCCATATCTCTGGAACCCATTGGTCGATTTTGATGGTTGACACCTCTTTCTGACCGTTAGAGCCAATAGAATCGAAGGGGGAGTCCCCCACACACACTCATTGTGAAACAAAAAGGTGGGGGCTTTGCGCATGTAATTTCGCATTAGAGTGAAGCTACACTCTAGCTCTGACATCTAGAAACGGAAAAGCATGGATTATCCGTCTCATTGCTCATGGTTTATCAGAAATCATTTCAAAGGGACACAGACACATTGGATTAACCTATGGATTAACTTCAGCAGCGTTTTTATCGTTTTAATGCCATTGAAGACCACTTTGGAGAGACTACAGAGCCACGGTAACCTTGTTAGCATTTTTAGCTACCTAGTGTCAAATGTTTTGATGTCTGTTTTTGCTTATAACGTCGCGATTTTGTATAATTCAGTGATAATGAGGGTACCCATCGATTCTGTGTCACCTCACGATGTGAAACGATGTCATGGATGTGGAGAAAATATAAATAATAAGGTTTTGTGAGTGATTTTCGGTGCAGTAATCTGTTAGCATTTTTCGCTCGTTGCTAATTCAGAGGCTCAGTGTTAGCATTGTGGGTTTTCTTTTGAAAAATAAATAAAAATGATCAGTTAGATGAGTTTCTTCCCGTTACATGGATATAAAACATTCATAGTTTATTAAATGAATATGCCCTCAGACACTGTTTCCTGCAAGATGTTGCAGCAGTGCCCCGGTACCGGTGTCTCTCAGGCTTAACAGGTTAAAAGAGAGACAATCATCAACCCAGATACCAAGGTATTTATAGCAGGCAACCACTTCAAGTACTTATCCTTGCGTAGTAACAATATCCAAAGTTGTCTCCGGTGTCTTTTTGGCTTTTGAAAATAGCATTACCTTAGTTTTTATCAACATTTAAAATAAGCTTAAGTTCAGAGAGCTGAGTCTGAATAATATTAAAAACTGCCTGCAATTTAACAACAGCCTCCTTAATGGAGGGACCTGCACAATACATCACGGTATCGTCCGCATAAAAATGTAAAGTTGCTTCATCCACATTTTGACCTAAGCTGTTGATATAGATGGAGAATAAAAGTGGACCTAAAACAGAACCTTGTGGTACACCATTTGTAATGTTTAACCACTCAGAAGACAGCCCATCAAACTGAACACATTGGGACCTTTCAGAGAGGTAGTTCACAAACCACCCCACTGCATGGCTGGATATGCCAATACTGGCCAGCCTCTGCTTCATGATATGATGATCGACGGTATCAAACGCTTTGGAAAGATCAATAAACAGAGCTGCACAACTCTGTTTGTCTAAGATATTAGCAATACCATTCACCACTTTCATTGTCGCAGTGATGGTGGTCAATGTAGTGCTTAGTCCTGTCGGAGTGCACCGGAACGAACAACACTATCACAATATCTTCTGAAAACAAATGCCATTGACACACACACACACACACACACACACACACACACACACACACACACACACACACACACACACACACACACACACACACACACACACACACACACACACACACACACACACGCGCGCGCCCTGGCGACCGGACATCTTCTTCATAAACGCAAAAAAAGAAATCTAACCTATACACTTTAATTAATCTACTCACATATGTCCTCATGATGTTATTCTTAATTGATTGTAATTCTTATATCTCTGTAGAGCAGGTCTGTCAACAGGTTGTTTTAAATTGATCAAAAATGTCCTGTTTCTGAAGGTTGTTAAAAAACACAGACGTGCTGTGAACATCCCAATCTCCTCCGACTGTGAGCTGGACATTGATCACAGTTACAGTGTGCACTGTGAACCTGAGGGCTTCTTCATTCAGCCTGAGGTGAGTCACTGATACTCCTCTAAAGAAACACAATGATCATTAACACACATTTATCTGCATGTGGATTCACAATCAGGAAAGATCCAGATAAACATTTAACTTCTGCTTCTGGTTTCCAGAGTAAAACATTTGATTCCAGGTTTGGACCAAACTACCACCCGACATTTCAAGTTTCCCTGACGACGAGCACAGAGAGAGTGGTTTTGAAGGTCAAGGACCAAGGTGGAAACGTAGTCTGGTATTATCGCGTGTCACTGGAAGGTAAAGACTCCACCTGAGCTCAGACCCAGTGATAGACTGGATAACTCTAAAGCTCCATCTCATAGCATTCTCCATTAAGGCTCCATGGCAGCGCATCATTACTAAACACACAACCTGTTATATTCTAAAACCATAATAAAAACTAGTGTTGTGCAGTGGTGAAACAGCGTGGCATTATGGGAGTTGGAGTCTTCAGCTTCTAATGCTTAAGTGGATACGCCGCCATTACAGGAGACCGTGATGAACGTACTGTTACCTTGATTAAAATTACACATCTCTCTGAACCATTTGCGATAATGTTTGTACACAACTCAACAAAATATAAATAATACAGTTGTAGGAGTTTTTATACATTTTAATGAGGAAATGTTACATATTATAACTTTAAGTGAACAGAAATCCCCCTCTGGGAATGTTGAGTAATTTTTAAGAGATCTGTTTAATGTGATTGTTCGTTAACAAAAGTATTTCCCTGTTTATCTTCCAGTTCCAAGGCGTGAATTGTCCCGGAGAAATGTCCGAGCAGAGAGCAGCGTCCCAGCAGAGAGCAGAGTCCCATCAGAGAGCAGAGTCTCAGCAGAGAGCAGAGTCCCAGCAGAGAGCAGAGTCCCAGCAGACCAGAGGCTGCGCTCAGTTCGGACAGAGTTCATTCAAAGAGTGACTCCAACTGTCCTGATCGACCTTCTGGATAAACTCTTTGAGTCTGAAGTGATCAGTGAATCTGAAATGACGTCGGCCAGAACCAAACCCCAAAATGACGGAGCACGAGAGGTGGTGGACGCGGTGCGGAGAAAAGGAGCTGCAGCCAGCAGGGTTCTGATCAATGCTCTCCGTGAGCTGGACCCGTATCTTTACGAAGAGCTCAATTTGAGCTGAGGCAAAACCTTGTGGAGTGTGTGTGACAGTTGAAGTCCTAGTCCTCTGTTTTGTTACCTGAGATACTCATACGTTACTTCAGTATTGCAATTGTATGGTACTTTGTACTTCTACTGCACTACATGTATGTAATACTTTTAGTTACTTTACAGATTTGGATGAATGATGTGAAATATAATCAAGTGTTAAATCAGACTTTAGTTCCACCTGGAGTAAATTCACAAGCTACCCTGCAGTATACAAAGTCATTCAAACTAGCTGCACCTTTACCAGCTTTGAGAACACTTTAATGATCAATCATTATAAAACATATCATATATATTATTCTGAAATGGACCAATCTGCACAATGACTACTTTTACTGTCGGTACTTTAACTATATTTTGATGCTAATACTTTTCTACTTTTACTTGAGGAACATTTTGAATGCAGGACTTTTACTGTAACAGAGTATTCCTACACTCTGGTACTTCTACTTTTACTCAAGAACCAGATCTGAGTACTTCTACTCTTACTCAAGAACAAGACCTGAGTACTTCTACTTTTACTCAAGTACAAGATCTGAGTACTTCTACTTTTACTCAAGTACAAGATCTGAATACTTCTACTTTTATTACAAGATCTGAGTACTTCTCCTTTTACTCAAGAACAATATCTGAGTACTTCTACTTTCACTCAAATACAAGATCTGAGTACTTTTCCCATCTCTGTAGTCATTACAATGAGAAACAAAACTATGTTAACTTAGCATCTCCAAAACAAGGAGAAAGTTAAGTTGATAAATGGAAAAAATGTTTAAAAGATTATATTAGAAGTTTTATTTTGAAATACTTCATAATTAGAAGCTAAGACTCACAATAATTAAGAAAAAGTATCTTGTTTTTTTTTTATATTACATGTGTTAGCCTACAGTATTTCCACAAAAATAAAAATGTTCATTTGCAGACATCAAGTAGCCTATGATATATGAATACACATTGTATTATTGATTGGTGATGGTGATTTTATGATTTTCTTATGGCTGCTTATCCTCCAGGACTTTTTCAAGGCTGCAAACAGAAGGAGAACGTGTTATGTTAGTTTAGTGGTTCTCTCCTGGAGAGATGATCCTTTTACAAAATACAGTTACTCAAGTACATCTTCGATCTTCACAAATCAGTTATGAGTCTTCAAACAAATCGCGCTCAATTTAAGGCGGGGCCTCTCATATGACGCACACCTGCACACTTGCTAGCCTGTTCCATTCTTTGTTCTCCGAATGCTAGGAAGGATTCTTGCCTATAGCCTCTGAAGGACCTGACTCGGAAGGACATGTCCTACCAAGGAAGCGCCCTCGACTTTGAGAAACAGCCCATGTATGAGTATGACTGAAGCAAAGCCCTATAAAGAGACCACCACAAGACGATCAACCATTTTGGACTTCCGCTGTCGCAACTCTTTCAGTTATAGGGCTTTGGTACAACTTAAAAACGTTTAAGTTTTGTTGGGGACTGTGTCTCAGGGCTTCTTAACATTTATGAAACTATTAATGTGTAGCACCAGATTAATGGGAAGAATCTCAGCTAACTGAAGATACGAACCATTTTTACCAAAACAAAACACAAGTCTCATAAGAAGCATCTAAATGACCCCTGAGCGAAACAATTCTAACGCACTGCGGCACAGATAAAGATACCCTTATTACTTATCGTAACTGCACATACAATATATCCGATTAAAGCTGAGACTCCACAGATTATATAGGTATTATCATCACTGAGCGATCCGAATTTGCAACATGGGAAGCAAACACAGACATCACAACACGTACCTTTACGGAGCTTTTACGGCAGATCGTCTCACCGTAGCTGTCAATTAGATCAAAAGACGTGTTCAATGGCATTAAAACGAGAAAAAACGAGGCTGTATAGGTTGATCCATGGGTTGATAATGTGACTGTCGGTTTGAAAAAATTATTTATAATCCATAATTTCCATTTTTATGTAAAATTCAGAGCAAATAAGTTAGCTGCTAATGGTAGCCACCAGAGTGTATGCAGCTTCTGGTTTTGGCCACGCGTCACTCTCACTCCTTATTTGTTAACGTGTTGATGTGTGTAGAACTTCCCCTCGATTCCATTGGCTCTAGCGGTTATAAAGAGATTTCATTCATCAAAATCGACCAAGGGGGGCCAGAGATATGGAAAATCCACCCAAATGACCCCAGAAGTGGGGTTTTTTGGCTAAATCTCTCTAAAAAGGTCAAATGTCACTTGTTTTGCATCAATCTTGATACAGGGTACTTATTATATGTTGTACTTTGGATTCCTAAAGCTTTTAGTCTACTAACCCATCATCCAAGGGTAGTTTTCACTATAAGTAAAAAATAATTTTTGGACGGACACTATAATTTACAGTTTTTTACTATGTTCAATCTGAATTTTCATTAAAATAAAAAACATCTATATTGATTCTGACTTTTCTACATCCAACTCACAGGTTTATCATTACTTTGAGAACAAAGATTATTAATTTAACCCTTTTAGAAGGGAAGATATGGTCATTTGTTCTGGGAATGTCATTTTCGAGCCTGAGACCTGAAAAACAGGCTCAGGTCTTAACAGGTTATGAGAAAGAAAAAGATATCCAGGCTCCTGTCGCCATCTGGTGGTGAAGAGAAGAGCAAAGAGGGGCAAACACCTGTCTGCAAGGTTTCTATTTCATATTCAGAAGCAAATCATTGTGTTGTTTTATTGCAGTGTATAAAAGGTTAAACAATAACAAAGCACTTATATGTAAATACTGATTAGAACAACGACTGGACTTTATACTTGGTGTGTGTATATGTGAATCTACAACAATAATTAAAATGTGTACTTTAGTCGTGTTAACAAATACAACACAACTCAAATATGCACTCACTGCAGTTCTTATATAATAAATATGGATTTAAAGTCTTGTTTCTTATGTATATTGTTTCCAAAGAACAGGGGTATATCATAACTATGCAATATGTCACGAGTAATTATGGATAAGGGAATGCTCTGGTTTTCGGACAAAATTAACATGGGATCACTCCCGTCACCGGACGTACTTCGTCTCACTGGAATATTAACGGTCATAGTGAATATAAAATCGTCCCCATGTATCCGGCCAATGACGGGAGAGTTTTGAAAGAGACAAAACACTGTTCCATACATTTAAAAACACTTAAACAATTAAACAATGTTTACCCCAGGATTCAGGCACCTTCCCTGGCTTGTAAAGTGCAGTTATGCGCCCTGGAGGTATTGCACTATTTACAAAATGTATACCCAGGATTCAGGCACCTTCCCTGCCTTGTAAAGTGCAGTTATGCGCCCTGGAGGTATTGCACTATTTACAAGATGTATACCCAGGATTCAAGCACCTTCCCTGGCTTGTAAAGTGCAGTTATGCGCCCTGGAGGTATTGTACTATTTACAAAATGTAGCACTTTCAGCACCACGGACAGCGCTGAAGGGAAGTGGGATGCGCAGGAAGCCATGCTGCTTCCCAATAGTTAGCCCCCAGATCCCTCTCCGCATATAATATACAGCCACCGGCTATATTATGCATTTATACATACATTTACTGTGGTGAGTTACACAACCTTACTCGGGTTTCTAAAATAGGGGGACGCATCGGGGGTCTCGGGGGGGTTCCCCGGGTCCGGTAAACAAGAGGTCTGGGGACTTAGTTTATTTCACACTTCCAGGAGAGACAACAGGAAAATCACCTCTCTTTGCCCGCTCACAGACCCCCAAAGGACGGCCTAGAGACCTCCAGCACCAGTCCCTAACAGTGGGACTCTGTTTATTTCACACCTCCAGGACAGAGACCGGGAAAGTCCCCTCTCTCTGCCCGCTCACAGACCCCCAAAGGACGGCCTAGAGACCTCCAGCACCAGTCCCTAACAGTGGCACTCTGTTTATTTCACACCTCCAGGAGAGAGTCCGGCAAAGTCCCCTCTCTCTGCCCGCTCACAGACCCCCAAAGGACGGCCTAGAGACCTCCAGCACCAGTCCCTAACAGTGGGACTCTGTTTATTTCACACCTCCAGGAGAGAGTCCGGGAAAATCCCCTCTCTCTGCCCGCTCACAGACCCCCAAAGGACGGCCTAGAGACCTCCAGCACCAGTCCCTAACAGTGACACTCTGTTTATTTCACACCTCCAGGAGAGAGTCCGGCAAAGTCCCCTCTCTCTGCCCGCTCACGGACCCCCAAAGGACGGCCTAGAGACCTCCAGCACCAGTCCTTAACAGTGGGACTCTGTTTATTTCACACCTCCAGGACAGAGACCGGGAAAGTCCCCTCTCTCTGCCCGCTCACAGACCCCCAAAGGACGGCCTAGAGACCTCCAGCACCAGTCCCTAACAGTGGCACTCTGTTTATTTCACACCTCCAGGAGAGAGTCCGGCAAAGTCCCCTCTCTCTGCCCGCTCACAGACCCCCAAAGGACGGCCTAGAGACCTCCAGCACCAGTCCCTAACAGTGGCACTCTGTTTATTTCACACCTCCAGGACAGAGTCCGGCAAAGTCCCCTCTCTCTGCCCGCTCACAGACCCCCAAAGGACGGCCTAGAGACCTCCAGCACCAGTCCCTAACAGTGGCACTCTGTTTATTTCACACCTCCAGGACAGAATCCGGCAAAGTCCCCTCTCTCTGCCCGCTCACAGACCCCCAAAGGACGGCCTAGAGACCTCCAGCACCAGTCCCTAACAGTGGCACTCTGTTTATTTCACACCTCCAGGAGAGAGTCCGGCAAAGTCCCCTCTCTCTGCCCGCTCACAGACCCCCAAAGGACGGCCTAGAGACCTCCAGCACCAGTCCCTAACAGTGGGACTCTGTTTATTTCACACCTCCAGGAGAGAGTCCGGCAAAGTCCCCTCTCTCTGCCCGCTCACGGACCCCCAAAGGACGGCCTAGAGACCTCCAGCACCAGTCCCTAACAGTGGCACTCTGTTTATTTCACACCTCCAGGACAGAGACCGGGAAAGTCCCCTCTCTCTGGCCGCTCACAGACCCCCAAAGGACGGCCTAGAGACCTCCAGCACCAGTCCCTAACAGTGGGACTCTGTTTATTTCACACCTCCAGGACAGAGACCGGGAAAATCACCTCTCTTTGCCCGCTCACAGACCCCCAAAGGACGGACTAATGACCCCCAGCATGTCCCCATAACAGTGGCACCT